GCACGCACTGTCCACAGAACCCTGAAACTTCGAGTGGCATCTGATCATATCTGATCCAATGATATGTGAGCCTGCAAAGGAAAAATTACACCAGCATGGACCCGGATAGCTAGGCAGAATCGCATGACCTATGCGACTGGCTGGAACAAGATGTACGCAGCCTGCACAGCCAGCTTACGGCACCTCCACAGCGGCACCAGCAACCTGTCTCCACCACGTGCACAGCCAGCTCACAGCACCAGCACCAGCACCGGCACCCAGCACCCAGCACCAGCACGGGCACCCGGCACCAGCGCCAGCAACCTCCACCACGTGCACAGTTGGCCCACAGCACCAGCAGCCAGCTCACAGCACCGGCACCCACCACTGTCTCCACCACGCGCACAGCCAGCTCACAGCACCAGCACCGGCTCACAGCACCAGCACCAGCAACAGCACCCGGCACCCAGCACCAGCACCGGCACCCGGCACCAGCGCCACCAACCTGTCTCCACCACGCGCAGCAAGCACCGGCGCCCGGCACCAGCACCAGCAACCTGTCTCCACCACGCGCACAGCCAGCTCACAGCACCAGCATTGGCACCCGGCACCAGCACCAGCGACCTGTCTCCACCACGCGCACAGCACCAGCACCGGAACCCGGCACCCAGCACCAGCACCAGCAACCTGTCTCCACACGCACAAGCTCACAGCACCAGCACCAGCAACCTGTCTCGAAAGCGCGCACGGGCAACTCATTGTTATTTGAAGTAAGAACCCCATAGCTCGCTATCTGGGGAAAAAGGGTGCGTCTGCAAAACCCAACCCTGCGAAAACAGGTTGCGGTTGGGTCGCTATGGCGCTGACCGTGGGTGAAGTTTTTTTGGGGAGGTTTTGGGTGGAAGTTGGAAGCATGAAGTGTCAGATTCGGGTGAAATGGTGTGGAAACGTAACATGTTGAAGTGTGGAGGATGATTTTGCTACGCAGGCGCAGCGTTTTGTGAAATCCTAAATTGCGTTCGCTGGTGACCTGGCGAAGCCGTGTTTGCAAGTCCAAACTAAAATTGCGATTCTGGTGGATGCGAGCGTGCTCAGAAAGTGTCAATATCACTCTGAGCTTTGCGGACTATTCGTGCCAGGCGCAATACTTTGCGCGCGTTGGAGGTGCCGAAATTGAATAATTGATTGGCAGGGTTGCTGGATGTGTTCGCGCTGATGAGACTTCCCGATTTTGAAGGAAGCCTCGTACAAAAGAGTTTCGTGCTTTTGGTGTGTCGGTGACCGGTGCTTTTGCGACGTTATAACTGGTCGCGGTGTTCATTGCGTCGATAACTTCATCGGTGTTTTCTGCGGCGGTTCGTTGGTGGTTTTTTGCGACGGTGCGCGGATGTTTTTTGTGTCTGCAAACGGTGTTTTCTGCGTCGGTAGTGCTTTCTGCGACGGTAACCGGTGATTTTGCGTCGGGAAGCGGTGTTTATTGCGGCGGCAACCTCAACGATGTGGGACGGCCACCGGTGGCACGACCAGTTCTATTCATCCAACTAGTGCTGCTGCTACTACCACTACTGTTGCTTGTGCTAGTACTACCACCGCGACGACGACGACGACTACTACTACTGCTGCTACTACTACTACCACCACTACCACTACCACTACGACTACTACTACTCCGACGTCGACGTCGACTACTACTACTATTACTAGTAGTAGTAAAACTACGACGACCACCACCACCACCACTGACTACCACCACTACCACTACCACTACCACTAACTGGCCGGACTTTATTAGGGAATGAGGGAATGAGGCTAAAACTGGCCAGGAGAAGTACGACGATGGTAGAAAGGTATGCTGAGCCTTGCTCAAGATGGAAAAACAGCATCGAAAATATAGGCGACAAAGGTAATGGCTCAAGATCAAAAATGATCATGGTAGAGCATGATGAGCCTCCTGCTCAACAGCAAGAATTATCATGCTGAACAAGTGTGATGGAAAGGGCAATGGCTTGAGGTCAAACATGTCACGGCGGATAGGCACGCTGAGCTTCTGGCTCAGCATCAAAAATCACAATGCTGGGAAGTAATGGCTCAAGATCTGAATGGCTCAAGGAAAAACAACATTCTTTTGCGCTAGAGTATTTTTCAAAAATGCTGAGGGGCCACCAAACTGAGGGGCCACCAAACCCTAGAACATCGGAGAAAGAATTGTGGGATCGCTTGCCACGGGCTTCCACACGCGCGTAAGTGATTTGATTTGAGATTGGTTGTTCACAATCAGATCCAACTTTGGATTCAAAAAGGAAACTATTTTGCAAACCCTCACTGTGACACTGCATAATGTTCCACTTCTCAAGAGTGCAGATTTGGGCAGAGTGCATTTGTCGTTTTGTTTTCGTTTTTGCAAACCCTCACTGCGAGAGTGTATAACGCATTCCAGTTTTTAAGAGCGCAGGTTTTGGCAGACGAGCGCGCCTGTCGTTTTGTTTTCTTGTTTTTGCAAGCCCTCACTGTGAGAGCGCTTAAGCTTTCAAGAGCGCAGGCTTTGGCACAGCGCACGCGTCGTTTTGTTTTTCTTGTCGTTGCAAACCCCGCGGCGAGAGTGTTCACGCCGGCATCCTGACGTCAACACTCAAAAGCTCGCGTTCTCTCGCCTTTATTTCGCTCCAGAGTCTAAGGGGCGGCGGTATAGAGGCCAAACCCCAAGGCAATTAGGGATAAAAACTTTTGCTCGCGTTCTCGCGCTCCATTCTTGTACCTCTTGGAGGCTGTTTCAACAACAAACATTTCCCCTTTGCTCGTCAAAATGACGTCGCCCAAAACAACTGTGTCACCAAATCGCGATGATGAATACACGCAAAAAATCACATGGCCCAAGATCACTTTTAAATGATTCTGCTCTGAGGAAAACATCAGCGATTCCAGAATATAGACAGCATCAGCTGACGGTGGCACAGCTTGTCTCAAAGGACGCTTCTGCCTGAGCATGTCTTCCGAACATCCGCGTGCCCGGGGCTGACGTTCTATCCGTCAACGTTCGCTTGATGGTAGATAAAGCCCAGTGCTTGCTGGAGACTTTGTCCTGTGGTTGCGGCTGAACCAGAAGTTCGCAAGTAGCACATGTAGTCATAGACTTCAGGCTCTCCAAGGTTCGCTTCACCAACGTCCCAGCTGCTGACTTACTTGCAATCAATCCGAAAAAGACCATAGCCAAGTGGCGGCCTTCCCCCATGAGATCTCCAGCTTTGTTCAAAAGCATTCTGCCTACTTAGCAACAGGGCCGCTCAAAACAATCTCTCGCGGCTTTCTGAGAGCACCACGCCGCACGTCATCTTCCAGTTTAATCAACTTTGCAATGTGAAGCCGCTGACAAGCATAGCTGACAGAGGCCTTGCTGCTGCAACGCAGTGGAAGTCGTAGGCTGCTTGCTCAACGCTCAAGACCAAAAGAAAGAGCTTCAAGCTTTGGCGCAGCCAGGACTGACTTTCTCGATTTCTTTGCTACGAGACACTTCATCTTCAACCATCGAACTTATCCTCCTGGAGCTGTAGCTCACTCCATCACGACTGCAGATTCTACCGTCCTGGTCTGTAGGGAAGACTGCAACTTCCCAGAGTGACTGTCGGCCCTGAAACACTTTCTTTCAAACAAGGTTACAGCAAGATTTGATTGTATCGGCAAGAATGTCACAAACAAATAAAGGAAATTCTTCCGGAATCAAGTTCACTTACGTTCACAGCAACTCCAGGATCCGATGCAACTGATCTGAGGAAATCTTGAATTCAGTTGGCAAATGAAGTTACCATGAACGCACCTGACGACCAACAGATCGATCTAGGAATCGAACGATTCTCACCCACACCGCCCTTGAGAAGACTGAAAAATGGCGACACAGACTAAGAAATCTGAGATGTTCTGCCTCGTGCAAAAAAGCTGCATTTCCGTCCCCTTGGATAGGTCTTTGCGCAGCCAAGTGAACCATACTAGCACTACCACAACTACTCCTACAAGCGCCACCACCACCACCACCACTACCACCACCCCCGCCGCCGCCGCGGTCGTGACCGCAACCACAAGCACAACAACGACCACCACCACTACCACGACCACTTCTGCTCTTACTGCAACCCGTTCCATGTCCAACTAGCAATCCTCTACCACCAACATCAACGAACAAGAACCGTGAATGCTGTGTCTTTTTGCTAACAACTTCATGTCTTACTGCCGCTTGACTTTGACGTGGCAACCGTCGCAGAAAACACAAGCAACCGCCGCAAAAAACACCGGTGGACAGCGTACCGTCGCAAAAAACACCAGCCAAACGTAGTGCGGGAAGCGGCCTCTGGGCGTTGCGCGGCCTCGGTGGAAAGCGAATTTGCGTGAGTCTGTGCCATTGGGGGAAACGCAGCGCGTCGCTCAGCGGTCACGAGGCTTCGCGTTATACAGTTATGTTGTACATTGTTGCGTCTACTACATCTGCGGCACACCGCGCGGCGAAAGTGCGTCTCGCTGCGCTGTGGGGCTTTGGCGCGGCCTAGGTGGAAAGCGCGCTTGCGTGAGTCCGTGGCCGTTGAGGAACTGTAAACTTTAAACGTGGCGCGTTGCTGGGGAGCGGGGTGATTGGCAGCGCCCACAGGCTTGGCGTTACATTGTTGCATCATGTTGCATCTAGTCTGTGGCACCCACCAGAGTGTTGCGCGAGAGTATCCCACAAGAGTTTCGCACGAGACTTGTGGGAAGTATCCCCACAAGAGTGTCCCACAGGCTTTGCGAGTGCTCCACAAGTTTTCCACAAGAGTGTCCCTCAAAAGTGGCCCACAAAAGTGTACTACAGCACAACTTGCTCACACTTGGGGGTTCACCATGCCCATCTCTTCCGGTTCTGGCCTTCACTGGCACCACTGCCCAAAGATAAATGTTGGCCAGCCGAAGTGCTCTGATTGCTCCTGGCCCACAACCAATCTGGGCTAGTGACTGCCTCATCCTTTTTGATATATACCTAAGATTGCCTAAGTAAGGATTTTCATATTTGGTCCTGACACCCTTTTCACAATGACGCGTCCTTCTGACGCATTGGCGTGCAGTACGCCATCATTGAAATCATCGGTCAGGGGAATCGTCAGCTCGCGCAGCATGAAGCGTATGTTGCCGAATTCTTAGCAGGGCGACGAAAAAAATGCTCAAAAAACTATTGCTCCGTGTACAGATTACAAGGATGTTAGTTTGCGTAAGCAGGTGGTGAACATGTGACCACTTCACGCGCCGCAGAACATGCCGCTTGACCAGTAGTGGAGCCCACGGCCTTATAAAGACAGGTAGGACCTACGACGTCGCCAGAAATGAGTCGCAACGACCAGCCAAACCACGCCAATACTTCTGGCACCCACCAGAAGCGACAAAGGGCCATCTCACCAGCAGGAAGATGAAAATGTTTTACCGCTTCACCTGAAAGAAGAACGCGCCGCCTCATGGGCAGTGAACACGCGCAACTTCACCAGCCGAACTCGTCACGTCACCAAGAATAAAAACGTAAACCTTCGCCAGCTGCTAGCGCCTACTACTTCACAAAAGCGTGAAGCAACGCGACTTGACCAGCGGTAAGGTAAGAATCCGGCGCATCTTCAAGTGAAGCTCCACTCAGTCGCGCAACAAGCCTTTGGGATATGGCGCGTTGCCTGGCAGTCAAATGAAACGAAGTCCATGACAAACATGCGAGAACAACTTCTCGCAAACCTCGTCATTCCGGACACACACTCGAAGTGTAAACGCATGGTCCTCACAGAGGGCTGCCAATGGGTATCCGCGTGTTCCCACAGGAGAAACACAACTCCTTCAAAGGGCACCCAGCTTTAAGCAAACAGTACCAGCGTTGACAAGCGCAGGCAACGAGCTCCAGTGGTTCATACGAAAGTGGGTTCCTGTCAAGGTTCACGCAATGTGAATACGCAAGATGAAGAGTTCATGGAACGGGCATTCGTTCTAAGCACCCGCTGCAATTGCCTGAAAACTCAATATATAAAGAACGAACATGCTCAGCATCGCACGCTGCTTGAGAAATTGCAATGTCTGCGTGGCAAAATCAGCGCTCAATGGGTTGAACTTCTTCAGGTTCTTCTCAGCTTTGCGAAAAAACTGCACTCTGTCTGCACGTAGGCGCCTTGCGAAGAAAAGGACCGAGCATGGTTCATGGTAAATCCGCCGACCCTGGTCTAGGCGGCGTCGCCTTGATGCCAGGGTGACAAGTGCGTAAATTCGTTATTCCCAGATAGCGAAGCTATGGGGTTCTTACTTCAAATAACAATGAGTTGCCCGCGCGCGCTTTCGAGACAGGTTGCTGGCGCTGGCGCTGCGAGCTGGCGGGTGCCGGGTACCGGTGCTAGGTGCGACAGCTGTGTCAAGGGCTGTACTGTTTGCGCGCATACTCTTGCACGTCGCAGCGTCGCGCTGGACACTGCTTGGCCTTGGGCCAATGATGCCTACGGGCTTTGCTGTTTGCGCGCATACTTTTGCGCGCATAAACTTGCACGCGCAAGATCATACGTTGTTATTCCCCAAATAGGGATAGCTATGGGGTTCTTGCTGCAAATAAGAATGAGCTGGCTGCGCGCGCTTTCGAAAGGGTGCACATGTCGGCGCTGGCGCTGGTGTTCTTGGGCGCTGGCGCTGTGAGCTGGCTGAGCGCGCGTTTAAGACCGGCGGCGGCGCTGGGCGCTGGCGCCGCTGCCGGTGTTGTCAGCTGGCAAAGCGCGCCGGCGCTGATGTCAGCTAATTGCGCGCGCTGTGGAGGTGCCGTAAGCTGGCTGTGCAGGCTGCGTACATTCTTGTTCCTTGCAGGTCGCGCGCAACATGAGTGACTGGCACTTCATTGACAGAAGCGGCGCTTGGTCGCCCTTCACTGCTGCAAGCGGCGGAAGTTGTTATCACTTCACTGTCAGAAGCCCAGCACCAGCAACCTGTCTCAAAAGCGCGCGCGGGCAACTCATTGTTGTTTGAGAAGTAAGAACCTCATGGCTTCGCTATCTAGGGAAAAAACAAGGAACCACGGTATTTGCGAGGTTTGGTGCACCTTTCCTTTTCCCCAGATAGCGAAGCTATGGGGTTCTTACTTCAAATAACAATGAGTTGCCCGCGCGCTTTCGAGACAGGTTGCTGGCGCTGGTGCTGCGAGCTGCCTGTGGACATGGTGGAGACAGGTTGCTGGCATTGCGTTGGTGCTGGGCGCCGGCGCTGGTGCTGTGACAGGTTGCTGGTGCTGGCGCCGGGGGCGCCGGCGCTGGCGCTCTGAGTTGCTGGCGCTGGTGCTGGGTGCTGGGCGCCGGGCGCCGGTGCTGGTGGTGGTGCTGTGAGCTGGCTTCGCACGTGGTGGAGACAGGTGGCGCTGGTGCTGTGAGCTGGCTGCGCAGGTGGTGGAGACAGGTTGCTGGTGCTGGTGCTGGCGCCGGGCGCCGGTGCCGGTGCTGACAGGTTGCTGGTGCTGGTGCTGGGCGCCGGGCGCCGGTGCTGGCACTGGCGCTGTAAGCTGTCTGTGGACGTGGTGGAGACAGGTTGCTGGTGCCGGGCGCCGGGTGCTGGTGCTGTGAGCTGGCTGCGCACGCGGCGGAGACAGTTTGCTGGTGCTGGTGCTGGTGCCGGGCGCCGGTGGTGCTGGTGCGGGCGCGGCAACAGGAGCGGTCGCAAAAGCGCATCATCAATCCAGATTATGCTGGATGGCAATCTGAATATTCTCGCGCGATCTCAGAAGTCGATCTCACTATCATCAGGTGAGGCTGAGTTCGTCTCGATTGTCCTTATCGTTCTGCAGATCGTTGCTTCAAGCATGCTACTACTGCTTGGCCCGGCCAATGACACTTACGGGCTTTGCTGCTTGCGCGCATACTTTTGCGCGCATAAACTTATATCAACTCTTCGAGAAGGCGATGGAGAGAGAAAGACCATACGCTGTTATTCCCCAAATAGGGATAGCGATGGGGTTCTTGCTGCAAATAAGAATGAGCTGGCTGCGCTTTTGAAAGGGTGTCGGTGCTGGTGCTGGTGTTGTGGTCCTGAGTGCTGGTGCTGTGAGCTGGCCGAGCGCGCGTGGAAGACGGGGAGGTGCCGTAAGCTGGCTGCGCAGGCTGCAGACATTCTTGTTCCAGCCAGTCGCATGTCAACAGGTCGTGGGATTCTGCCTAGCTATCTGGGTCTGTGCTGGTGTAATTTGGGGGACCGGGGCGGAAAAGAAAACGGACGGTATTTACGAGACTGTTCGCAAAAATCGCGAACAGTTGCAAAGTTATTTTTGCAAGAAACAATGGTTCTGTTCAGGGGCGTTAGGCCGTTTCCTCCCACCCCTGGCCCTCCCACTCTTCATTGGCTTTGATGATGATGATGATGATGATGATGTCGGTCAAAGTGTTGATGATGTGAATTATGCGCCTGGGGTTAACACACTTCGTTTGCATTTTGTTTGCTCTGTTTCCAATGCCCTCTCGCTCTGGAGCAACAAGCAGCCCAACATGTCCAACATAGGCCAACTTCGCAGCAGCAACAACAACAGCAGCAGCAGCACAGCCACAGCCACAGCCACAGCCATAGCCACAACAACAGCCACCAACGACGACAGCCACCAACCCACCAACGACAACCATCAACACAACCGCCACCACGCCCACAACAACTACTGCCACCACAACCGCCGCAACCACAACAATCACCGCCACGCGGCCAGCTATGACCACCCACCATTACCAAAGTAACACCCCCCAAGGCCCGCTCTCTGGCCGGCTTTCGGGCGTAAGCCCTTAAATAAGCATCGGTTGCCAAGTTCTGTTTTCAATGTTATCATGGTTGGAATGCTTGCTGCGTTACACTTCTTTTTGTGATTTGGCTCAAGCTTTGATGCTTGACATCATTCATGGTGGGCATGTTTCGCAATCATTTCAGCCCAGACCTATCCAACGCACGCGCTCCACCTCCAACAGACTCCGGACTTCCATTTGCACACACCACCCTCCCTAGTTTACTGACATCTTTGTGCTGATCCTCATTCCACGTGCTTTCCATTTGCCACTTCTTCATCGACTTGTGTATATCGAAGCTCTCCATCTCTCTCTCTCTCTCTCTCTCTCTATCGGTGATGTGTCATGTGGTGAAGTGTAGTTCCAAAATTCAAAGTATCTCAACTAAACTTCCATTGATGAGTTGATTCATATCAATCTTGTCTTTATATATAGTCCCTATATGTCCCTGTCACACTCGCTGCCCAATTTGTTACCTCTCTTCTGGCGGCATCTGCTCATGCCGGGCGAAGAAAGCATCCTCTTCACTGCCAAATTCCATGGCAAAATACGCGCGGGCACATACATTGTCACTCTAGTCCAGGCCACTCCGTGCATGAAAGTCGGTAGCTTCAAAGCATTTGTCCGCCTAGTTCTGCTCTGTAAACACCGAGGCAAGATTTCGTGTCTGAGTTATATATATATATTATAAGTTCTTTCAGCAGGCAACTGCAAGAACAACCACGGGGTGCTGAGCTCTTGCATTTGAGCCAGCCAGCTAGTTTGATCACGCAAGTTCGTGTTTTGTAAAGGTTCTTGGCAACCAACCGGAATTGCAGTGCACCGTGCCTGGTCAAGGCACGAGGAGCACCTGCAGTCCCGCTTTCCATGTTGAACGAACGCAAGTGTACTTTCTCACCGACTCTCCAAGATCAAATGCGTAAAATCACAGGTTGGCACTGAAGCAACCAGTTGCCCCCTGCTAGGGAGCAGGAAAGGCAAATCACCTTAAAGTCAAAGCAGCTGATAGCTCTGGATGCCTTTCTTGAATATCTAGCAAAGTCCTAGTTGAAAGTTAGTTATGAAACAAGAAAGAACTCTGCTTGCCTTGTTTTGTCCCCTCAGGCATGCCTCTAGAGTTCTAAAGAACTTATTTGCTTTGATGTGCGCAGCATGTAGAGAAAAACAGGAGCGAAACTCACAACGCTGTCAAAAATTCACCAAATGCGTAAACCCAGCAGGTGTGCAAGTTTTGGCTTGAGTTTCCAGGCCCAAAGGCGGAGGCTGGACATAGCCTGACACGACTCATGACTCATGAAGGTACCATCTCGGTATTGCAACTCAAATCGCAAAAAATAAGAAAATAGATTCCATGATATGGCCACATAAGGGATGCTTAAAGTCTTTGGTTCCCTCCAATTTGTTTGCATTTTTAGCGACTCCTATGCCGATTTTGAGGCAAACCCATCTCCATCTCCCATGAATGACACATAGTAAGACGCTTCTTTGCATCTTCCAACAGCACTCATTTCGACACAAGTACACGTGCACTCTGAATCATGTGCTCCTGCCGAGGGAAGGGCGCCCAAAGGCGCTGAATGATCTGTGCCTCGGAGCCAATTTCCAGAAGGAATTTACAGCAATGATGCACATGCTTGCAGTTGCACAAAACAGTATTGCAAAACTACAAAGTCTCACAACAGAATGCTCCTCAGCTTTACAATTCAATGGTATCAGTATAAGTTGAGGAGTTCACCCACTTGGAACAAAAACACCTGCGTAACTCCTCAAAAAATACCTATTTGGTGAGACTGCGAGCCCAATTTTGCGGGAAGAAAGCAGAACTCAACATTGAATCCTACTGTAGACCAGGCGGTGCAGGTTGATTCATTCAAGGCGATGCGTTGCCCAAGGTCTCGTTTTTGCCACTCAACGCCACAACATTGCGCATCACCTGCCCAAACCAAAAAACTGTGCGAACTGAATTGCCCACGAATCGTCAAAGCCGACTATGTTCAATCAGATTGTCATCAACCCCCTTTGAGCAATTCAAATTTGCAAATAAAAAACAAGCACTTCATGCACCATATCGAATTGTGATTGAATTGTGCAGCCGAACTGCTTTGCAGTTCTACTGGTTCTTGCCATCTTGTGATGCCCAAAAAGCTTTGACCTACTCAGAACCCTCTGAAAACTTCCTTGATCCAGCCACGTGCGCCAGCCACATGCAGCGATTAAACTGGAATTCCATAGCAAACCTGAGCACACAAAACGGCACCTTGCAAGCCCAAAACAGTGGAGACAATTCCCGCCAAGTGTGCATCCAAAATGACAGCCCCAACCCACCACCACATCCATGTCTCTGCCTTCACCCAAGGTCATGCCAAATCAATCGAAGTCCATGGTTCCACCCTACACGTCCGAACTTGCCATGAATGTGTTAAAGCACAGAACCTAAAACCCATCACCAAAAACTTCCTAAAACGGACAAGAGTTTCGAGCTTTGGAGGGTCGAGGTGCCAGAGCGGCCCCAGTCAAATTCGGCAACAAGCAGTTTGGCCGCAGCGTTTTCAAGGCAGCAAGAAGGCCTGGAGCTTTGCGTGTTGGCGTGTTTTCAATTGCCTTGTTCCGAAATTAGACAATTTATTTCAATGCGCATTATGCATTTTAGTTTGTTGTCCAAGGTCACTGGGTCGTTGCGCTACAGTATCATACACCACCTCTCTTGTTGCAAGTTGCAAGCCTTCAGCTTGTTTTTAAGGCAACGGGAACCTGGTCTGAAGCCGTCCGTTCTCTTCCGAAAACATCTTGGTACAGCCGCATGGCAGCGATGAGAGTTTGTTGAATATGGCCGAAGGAGCAGCTGCAATAGTTTGCAGGGTAGCTTGCTTTGGGAGTAAAGGAATCGTGAACTGGCGGAAGGCAATGTGAAGGAGCGACGCTTGGCTTTTGAAAGCAACAAGCATTGATGCTTATCTTAGGTAACTTACCATTCCACAGCGTCACCAGAAGCGTCCGCGTCCACATCAAGTGGGTGAGCCCAACTTCCAAGTGCAAACCACACGGTTACTGTCTCAGCCTAGGCGTCGCAAATCACTGCATCAATTGATCAGTCATTGATCGGCTTGTATCATTGCATGTCATTGGGTCATCTTCAGTCATCTTCATGTTTGAGAGCTGAGTAATCACTAGTAGTAATACTGTAATAGGACTAGCCCAAGTCTTGTCCCGCGTGCCATCTACAGTCTACGCAGTCTGGGCCAGTTAGCTGTCCAGATTCAAACTGCTTCCAAACAAATATGGTCGACTATATAGTCTACTAGACTCACTAGAACTCTAGACCAATCTTCCGGATCCCAGCTTGCTACACACCTGATTCACAAAGGACACACGCACAATCATGTCCACTGTCATGGAAACCCTGGATAGTTTGGCACAGATTGCGCCCAAAGGACTCAAGCGGAAAAGTGCACGCTGCAGCTGAGGAAGCAAGTGAACCTATTGAGGAATACTGCTTCAGCAGCTGATGATCGTGGATGAAGCTGTTCTTAAGTACAGTACATTGAAACAAGTCATTTTCAGCTTTGAAGTGAAACCTCAAGCAAAGGTTAATGTTCACGTCCTCGACTCGAGTCCTCGAGATACAAAGGGCTCTAGGTGAGTCTCTCAACGTGAAAATGTCGCAGCCTCCGCATCGAGTAGGCTTGCCTTCCTTCAGCCATCTCTGCAGCAGCCTCAATGCTGGGTCCGACTGGTAACTGGGGTCCCAGTGTACCAAGAAATCTAGCCAGAGCAAGAGAGGCATACATTTGCGTTTGAAAGGTTGTGCATGCGTAGCAGTACTGAGCTGCATGTAACATCATGATAACCCTGAAGAGCAAAACAAGGGTGCTGTTTGAACAACCAAACACTCCATATGCACTATAGTATGGGCCTGCGAGAAAACCTTGCCTAAACCGCAAAGGGATTTTCTGCTGGGACAAACTCTACATGAAACAGCCGTCTCACAAATAACACATCGAGAGCTCCAGCACTGAAATGCTTCAGGCATGTTGTTTCAGCGTCGCCTTGCCTGCTGGCGAGCTTGTCAAGATCTCCGCCCAGCACATCCCATTGCGCTCCCAGAACCAAAGGAGCACCGCCAAGCAAAGCACTGCTCACCAGGCCAAAAGACTCATCCTGCAAACTAGACTGGGCATGTTTAGGAAGGGAAAACACCAAACCAAAACAGTTGAGAACACAACGTTACAATTGCAAAAGAATGTTTGGAAGTAGCTATTTTGGTTATCAGCAATCAATTGTGGTCCATTTTTTGAACGGCGCCTGTGAAAAGGTGGAGGCATTTTGAATCTTGACGCTAGAACACCCCAGGAGCATCAAAATCGAGCGAAGGCCGGCTTGGCATGCTGGAGAGTTTTTTTCCTCACCCAGCCCACTCCGACCACACCATGCACTGAAGTACATCGGCATCAAGTTCAGTGCATGCATGCTTACATATGTCCATGTTGAAACCGTTATTAACCTCCTACAGAAAGATGTTGGTCAAGAGTCCGACGAACCAGCAACTTGCAGCGTCTCTTGGCGCAGAAGGTGCCTCCAAAAAATACAAACCAGCATGCGGGGCATATGGTTCTTTTGACACACACATACAAACAGCTCTCCTGAATGGACTGAACCGGAAAATGAACAACACAGATTCATACACAGTTTATAAATTCAAAACAAAATGTGTAATGTTGCATTTGCTGCCTTAAATACTGCGAAACACGTCGGTTGGGGGGGAAAGAAATCATACAAAATTAATGGGAACTGCATTTAAAAACCCAAGCAGCAGCAACAACAGTAGTAGCATCCCGCCTTGCTTTCTCTCCGTGGCCTAGATACACAAAAATATCTTTTTTGCAAAGTTCTTCCAATACCTTAGCTGCAGCTTGCACGTGGGCGCGGACAATTATCTATTCAACACCCGAGCTTTGGCTTGGGTGCAGCACAAGTTTATTAAAGGCCAAAGAAGCCGCCATCGGCCAATGAACCCCCGGCTCCAACCAATCCAAATGTAGATCTATATATATGTTACCCCCCCCAGCACCCACCTCGCACATCAAGCATTCAGGCATCAAACGATAATTTACACCAAAGACTTGAGCTGGAGCATCAAATGACACATTGTAGAAGAAAATGGGTGGCATTATCAGACGACATTCTAATGAGCCCTGTGCAGAGCAAAAGTGCAGGCATTACATTATAATGAAATCAAAAGGCCAGGTAAAGCAGTACAAGAAGGAGCCCAATGAGACAAATCCTACTTCTGTGGCTACGTGCATTGTTCACTACTGCTTGGGCACCACGTAGTCTTCCAGCGCCCGTGAGGAGAGTTCCCCAGACGCTACCCATACAAGTCTTTGCTTCTGCACGTATTTGCACTGGGCTGACGGATTTTTGCCCGCAGCTGGGTCGACCAACCTCTTCAATTTCATGAGGTTTTTCAGAAAACGACACGGCCTGTCAACCACCTGAGTCCAACTTTTGGCTTTGATGGTCTTTCCCGTTGTGGGATCTTTGTGCTGGGCAAGCTTCACAGATGTTGGGTTTTCCAAGATTCACTTGCCATGGTGTCCACACATAGGCAAAAGCTCGAGCCGGGCAACTGGGCCCTCAACTTTTCCTGGCGGCTGCAGGCTTCAAAGTTGCTCGGAGTTGCAACATATTATGTTTGTCGGCTGCTTTCTTGTGAGCTTCATTTAGAGACGCAACAACAAAATTTACGACTAGCCAATCAGGAACGCAGTGATGCCTGGAAGGAAGGCAACGCGACATCTTCTCAAGAAGTCACATCATGTTGCTGAAAAAATTGAAGCCTTTTTGGCTCAAGAGTGCACAAAGGCTCAAGCAAGACATCTGCCCCATTAAAAAAAAAAAGAACTTCATTCAGGCAACTGCCAAGGGAACAAATAATTTTCTCGTTGATACAAGCATTGTTTGCATGTTAGGCCCTTGTCCATGGCACAAACTTTGCTGATCAGGACATTCCTTCAGGATCGCCTTTCCTTGTTTGAAAGAAGTGACCAGCACTTTTAAGAAGGAACCTATATACCTTCAAGATGTTTGTCAATACATAGCGGCATCGTCGGCATCGTCCTTTTCCCCAACCTATGCCCCATTGTGGTATGGACAAGGAGAAATCAAGCTAACAAACAACGCGGCGCAACTGGAAGTTGCAGTATCTTGTATTGTCTCAGTGCGAGGGAGTCTCCGGCAATCCCTGCTGCCTCAACCAGAAAGTAGTGGCACAGACTGGGACCTCTCTAGCAATACTCCTTAGCCTTAACATTGGCGTGCTGATTAGGAGAGTCCTGGCGTCTAAACACACTCAACAGTTGGGGTGTTGTCCAAGTTGCTCTTGCAGGTTCTGGAAGGCGCCCAGTATGACCATGCCAGGCCTGCTCAAGTTTACCCTGATGTTGCCACGAACACGCTGATCAATTGATCAAAAACAAAAAGAGAAAGACACACCCCAAAGGAAATCACAAACTGACTGCAACACCCTCATTTCAAGAAATATTCTGGTTTGCCTTCGGAGGGTTGCTCTAGTTTGGAGGGGTTATATACACAATCGGGACGCTGAGATTGCCACACCCGCTTCCTGAGGAAACAACATGAAACAAGGAAAAGAAAGAAGGCTATACTTTTTCTATATGCATATTACACACGCGCCAGCGAAAAGAAGGCTGACAGCGCCAAACCTGACCTGGGCAACAGCCTGGACAAGGCCTGGACAAGGTGGAGAAGACGGGCCCACAGCACGGCCAAGCAAGACACACAGACCCGGATCATGAACAAAAGGGCGGACAGCGCGAGAAAGGCTATCGTGGCCAGCCCTTTTTCCCCACATAGCGAAGCTATGGGGTTCTTACTTGAACTAACAATGAATTGCCCGCGCGCGCTTTCGAGACAGGTTGCTGGCGCTGGTGCCGGGCACCGATGCTGGTGCTGTGAGCTGGCTGTGCACGCTGGTGCTGTGGAGACAGGTTGCTGGTGGGCGCCGGGTGCCGGTGCTGGTGCTGGTGGTGCCGGGCGCTGGTGCTGGTGCTGTGAGCTGGCTGTGCACGTGGTGGTGGAGACGCCGGTACGCAAGATCCGCACAAAAATCTTGAGTTCAACTGGACAGCTCTCAGAATGGACAGAGGAACCTATCCAGGGCCTGTTGAAGAACACAGACTTGCTCATTTAAAAAAAGAACACGCAACAAGAAGACAGACTTCAGCCACTTCGGCCTTCAGCAGTTGTTTGCCATTTGGTCTCGCCAATAGTACATGTTGCGACATATTGCGACAGTTTCTTAGCAAACAAAGCGAGCGACTGACGAAAGACAAAAAGACTGTCCAGCGCAAACATAGGACGCTTGTTGAAAAAAATAGGTGATGAGGCGATAAAGTAACGCTACTCTGAGGATGCAAGGTCCTGTGCGAAGACGCCATCCGCATCCCTCACCGCTCCTGACCATCTGTCCAAGAGGTCAGCAGTTGTCTGACATCCACCATGGCTGCACAGTCTTCAGCCGGGTCAATCACAAAGAAGCCCGTGGTACTTGTTGGTTCACTAGAAGAAAGGGCGGCGAGCCTCAGTTGGGCCAGCGGTTAGGTTTAAAAAATGGGGGAACACATCCTCTTGCTTGCGCTTTCACAACTGATTCAATGCTGCTGATTGGCATGCTTGTACATTGCCTTCAACCAAACTTGACAAGCTCCCTGGTCCTGGTTCCTGACTCAAAAACCGGGGAACCACCTCCCACCAGATTGCGCTCAGAAATCTGTTTGTTTTTTTGCACAAGCAGACGAGAAGCGTTATGTTCGGAGCTAGCCCACGGACAACATTTCGATGCCTTGGAAGGATTGCTTTCATGAATCACCAAGTACAAGGCCCACACATATCAACAAAACGTTGGAACCAAACTCCACAGGAAAAATATGTTTCCCTGGTTGCTTCGGAAACTTGAAAATTAACCTCAATTTTTCTGGCACAGTAAATGGTTCTATTGTAGATAGTAGTAATCTGGACCGCTTCCGCCTCAAAGAAGGGCAAGCCTCCAGCGGCAGTTGAGCCATGCTGGCGTCGACATACAGCAACAAGGGAGCCTTGGACAAACACAAGGAATGCCGAAGAAGGACAACACGAAAACAAAATCAAACAAACCAGTTTTGCCAGGAATTGTTCCCAAATACTGTAGCGGAGGGTTCTAACTTTGGGAAGCTGAAGGTGGAACGTCGTTCGCGTGACATTGCGTTCGTATTTGCAAACGTCCACAAGCTTTTGAATGCGATCGATGAGGCCATGCCATTGGGGAAAGGTGTTGGCGGAGGTTTCGGATGGAAGGCAGAAGGGTCAGATTCATGCGAAATAGTGCAGAAACGTACACTCAGCCGCGGAAGTCACGGCATACTAGGAAAAAACTTGTGTTCCCCAATGTAAACGCGACGCCAAGAGGGGGGTCCCGGCATAGTCCTTGCAAAAACGTTGTTCCCTCACGTAAACGCGATGAAATGTGAATGTTTTTGGCGCGTTCTCCCCAACACAGCTCTCATGTATTCAAAACAATGTTCCCGCACGTAAACGCAATCACTTAGAAATGTCACTTAGCCATGTTGTGCCAAAACGAGGTTCCAGCATGTAAACGCGATGACTTGGCAATGTTTTTGATGTGTTGTGAAATTGTCATGTGTTCACAACAAGCTTCTGGCATGGAAACGCAGTGATTTAGCAATATTTAGCAATGATGTCAATTTTCTTGTGGTCCCTTGACATCTCTTTGGACCGGGCACTGGACACTTTACTTGAATCGCAGAGAGGTATCGGAACGAGGATGAACGAGAGGGTGAACAAGGTCAGAACCTGTGCCACCAAGGAAACCCTCAGAATGAAAACCTCTAGTTACCTCATCATGTATATGCTCTCGCCCCGGTCCTTCTTTCTTTCTTTCCTTCCTTGCTTCTTGTCTCCCCGCTTGTCTGCTGTGATCGGCGTTTTGTCTGCCCGCCCCTGCTGCCTTGTCTCCTTACTTGTTTCCCCACCTCCCTCCCCACTCGTTTGCCTGCGCGATCGGCGTTGTGCTTGATCGTCGTTTTGTTTGCCGCTGCTGCCTTGTCTTCTCCCCAACTAAACGCAAAGTCGCCACAACTTCCATAGATTCAAGTCCCCAAGTAAACGCTTCAAAAATTGAATGTCGCCACGACTTCAACATTTGAGAGTAACATGTGGACGTGTGGATGACTATTTTTCTGTGCAGGTGCAGCCCGGCGCAGCGTTTTGTGAGATCCTCAGTTTCCTTCGCGGCGCCATTGGGACTGGCGTTTGCAGATTGGAGGTGTTGAGCGTAGCTGCGCCATTAGGATTCGCTTTTCAGGCCCTTGGCTTAAAGCTGTGTCTTTGTGACAAGTCTCAGCTAAAATTGCGATTTTGTTGATGTGAGTGTGCTCTAACAGCGTCGAAATCATTCCAAATGTATGGTGACCAGAAGATGTGACGCATCAACTCTTCGTGGCAGGCACAGCGCCTTGCGCTTGTTGGAAGACTTCCCGCTTCACTTTTGGAGGAAGCCCCATGCAAAATGCTCACTTTTAAACAGTTTTGAATTTGACTTTGTACGAAACATTCGTTTTGGAGACTTGACGGATGATTATTGGAGGAAGCCTTGAACCGAAACACTCGTTTTGGAGACTTGTTGTTTGACTTTTGAGGGAAGGGGCCGGGCAAGCCTAGTAAGAAATGCTCGTTTTGTAAACTTGTCGCGCGATTTTTGGAGGAAATCTACTAAAGCGCTCGTTTTGGGGGTTTGGTGCGTGGCTTTTGGAGAAGTGTCGTACGAAATGCTCGTTTTGGATCTAACGCGTGACTTTTGGGGCCATCTCATCCGAAATGCTTGTTGTGACTTGCGTTTTGAAGACTTGACGCATGACTCTCAGAGCACTGATTTTGGAGATTTGACACGTGAATTTTCGAGGAAATCTCATCCGACGCGCTCAGAAAGTGGTATGCAGCGAGCCGAAATTACATCCTTGATGTCGCTGTGCCATGCGGCTTGGCGCGCCAGATGGCTGTAGATGCGGCATGTCGCCGGTGCGCGGGATGATTGGCAGTGTCACGTCACGGTTGCATCTAGTCTGTGGCCCGCGGCCTCGGTGGAAAGTGCGTTTGCGTGGCTCCATGGCAACATGCGTGCGTCGCTGGTGGGCGGGATGACTTGCGGTCGCCAAAGAGTGTCCGACAAGAGCGCGCTACAAGAATTACAAGAGTGTCAAGCAAGAGTGTCTCACAAGAGTGTCCCACAAAAGCGTCTCCTACAAGAGTGCCCCGCAAGAGTGTCCCACAAGAGTGTCAAACATGCAATGTTTCGCCATTTGTTTTCGAGTGCGTGCGTGCGTTCGGGCTCGTGGACTCCATCTTGTTTTAAGCCGTCAGGAGATGAGTCGGCCGTTGTCTGAGGTCGCTGACTCAACATCTTGAGATGTGTTTCTAAACTCAAAGTGCAAAGCTGCCTCAGGAGGTTCTTTGAAAAGCGCTTGCAACTCCGAGCGGCACCTGCCATCCAAGGGCCGCAAGAATTCATAACAATGGTATCTTCTCTCAACCTAAGAACTTCAACACGAAGCTTGCCAACCGCCTTCGCATGGAATACGCCAATCGTCTCAAAATGGACTTGCTGCCATCCACAAGGTCGCCCAAAATAGAGACCAATTGAGAGACCTCAACTGAGCGCCAGAAAGCATTTTGTCCCTGATTTCCGTCTGTTGGACTCATGACAATATTGGTGCCTCCAAATGCTCGCAGTCGATGAACAGAAGTGCCTGGACGTCCAAATCCAAAGCATAAACGAATGTTTCGTGGTTTGTTCCTAGTAGCTTCTTGTTCCTAGTAATAAGGCCAGGAGCCCCTAGTAGCGTCCTTGCTCCTAGTAGCGATGCCCTTTGCTACGAGTAGCGTTTATAGTCAAGCATATTCTCAAGGTGTCATCAATATGCCGTTATTTCCGCTATTTCTTTTTATGCTTTCTGGCATCCTGCTATTCTCCAAGCCTTCCAACTGCTCCCAGGTTTTCAAGGAATCAAGGTAGAAGAATGAGACAATCAAGCAAATCTGTAAACAAAGTGCTTCAAGGAACTAAATCAAATGCCAAGCTGCCAGCAGAAAGAAATGTTGAGGATCAGGCTCCTGTTGGCGTAAATTCCTGTTAGCCGCTTTGGCTAGCTGTTCAGCTTCATTCAGCCATGCACGCAGAGCGTCCAAAAGCCGTTGTCTGGTTGCTTCACTCTGTGGCCACGGAGCCAACAAATAGCGCTCAGACCGGAGAACTTCCTCAAAATTCCCACAATGTGCGCGATAAATGAGAGTAAGCAACAAAGTATACAACAAACAAATCTATATATATATATATGTTGCTCAAAGTGAAGATTATACATACAGTAGTTGAAGATCCACTAAGTGCTATTTCATGTGTTTTCCTGACCTTGTCAAACAAACACAAGTCCGTGAAAGAAGTCTTTGGAAGAAATGTTTGCTATGTGCTTGGCGGTGCAGCTTGGTGACCTTTTGAATCCTTTCAGCCACCCTTCCAAGCTGCCCGTCAAAGCTCTTGCGACTTTGCCAGAATTCTAGCCGCACGGCCTGCACTTTCCACCGCCGTACTTGTTGAGCAAAACACAAAACGCAAGAAACTGTGGTACTCGCCTCAGAGCGCTTGTCCTCCCGCTGCCAAAGCTCCCTTATCTTCTTGCTGTTCAGCTCGTGAAGGCTTTGCAAATCCTCCTCCCGCTCGCTCATATATTTACTTTCAGGGCATGTCGTTGACCGTTTAAACACTTTTGTTCGTTTCACAGCGTTGAAACCTTTGATTGGGAGAGGTGAAACTCAATGAGCTTGCAGAGTCGCTCCCGAAGGCTGTGTAGAAGTTGGGAAGGCACTTCAACCCGCTGAGATAGGACTTTTGAATGAGCTGGCAAACCACAACCAGCGTCCAAGGAGCGAGTAATTTGGAGGGATTGGCTTCTCCAATCTACCTCCGCGAGGAAAGCATCAGGACTGAAATCCCACAAAGTCAACATTTCAAGCAAGCACAGCCATTGGGCATGCCTGGAGCCATGCAAGTGACATATCCGGGGTAAGCTGCGACATCCAGTTGCCACTGCACAGGTCTTCAATAGGCACAGAGTGACTGGATTGCAGCTGTGAATGATCCAGTAAGCATCCAAGTGCACCTAGATTTGCTGTCAAGTACAGTTTCACGCAGTGTTTTTCACTCTATCATACTCAGAATCCACCTTTCTGCAGCTGAAGCTATAAATGTTACAGTTACACTGTAGTGATTGATATTGGAGGTCGGACAATACAGTATCGAGAATGCCTTTTAATGTGACAGGTTTCAATCTTCAAAGATGTCTGGATCAAAGGAGGAGTGATACAAAGCGTGTTTTTTGCTGCTTATGTTTGCTGGCTGATACTCCTGCCCTCAAAAGATTCTCAAGTCACACCGGGTGGGGTCCAGAACTCGTTCGCACGCTTGAAATCTGGTGGTATTATGCAAAGCCAAGATAAGACAAGGATCACTGGTCACTGAGCTTCTCAAGCCTCCTCTGCTTTGCACGGAGCTCTGCAAGAAAAATTAGTGAAGCGCCAGAACAAAATGGGACAACCTAGAGCTGAAAGCAAGCAACAAACCACGGTCGGTAACCGACATCTGAACAACTCCCCTTTAGAACAATCACCCATCTACTGTATATAACTATATAACTATAACTCATCGAAAGTGGGAGCCACACCTGCTTGCAAAGCTGCCACCTGGCCCTTGCAAAGGCAACTAAGCCATGTCCGCGGCGTGGGCTGCGGGAACGAGAAACTGTTTGTTCCTGCAGAACGCACACCCAACCATTGAAAACATCGAAAACTTCATCCTCCCAAAGATGGAGTCAGATGTCAGAGTCTGAATCCTGTTGTGTCAAGTCATGTCGTGAATGTGGCAGACTCACGTTGTTTCTCTATTTGCCAGGATGTCATTTACAGATTCTTAACAAATGCAAATTACACAAAGGAGCTTGAAAGAGCTTACTGTGGGAAATTGCTCATGTGGCTGCCAAACTAACGGCACAAGTCTTTGTCCGATCCTCTGGAGCATCCATCAAGTCTCTTTGTGGCACCTCGGCCAAAAAAATCTGGATCGCGTTGGACTCAGGCTTGTTCGGATGGCAATCATTCCAGTGAGAAATAATACATATGTATATACTCTTTCAGGTGCAGCACGTTTGCAGCATCAAGTAGGAGATGAGCGCTTTGGCTTGCCGCAGCGCTGTCGCCAGTGAAAACCGCACCTGAACCAGCTTTATGTGGAAAACATGGTGCCAATGTTTGACTGTTGTCTTCCGGTATTATTGCACAAGCTGGTGAAAATGGGATCTCATCAACATGGAAGGAAGATTTCATTGTAAGATTTCTGAAATTGCATTCAATTGAATTCATGTCGGAAATTTCTGGTCTCTTCAGAATCATGGCTTTTGCTGCTCGGTCCAGCCTCTTAAAGCAAAAACGCTCAGAAGCAAAGTGTCAAAGGAGCGCAACTCTCTCACCTCCATGTGTGGGCAATACAAGATGAGTCATGCGTAAAAGGCAATAAGTGAGTGCACAAATCCTGCTTGAGTTGCGTGTATTTTGAAACATACAGTACTCTTAGATGGCTATATACACCACAAGTCTGCATTGATACCTCGTTTGATGCCTCATCTGTCAGTAATGCTGGAGAAGCCAGTGCTGTGCAACACCGCTCTAATTCCAACACTGCTGCGCAAAGCGATCCTTTTAGGAACTCTGTGGTCTCAGCGCCGTTGTCTTTCTTGGAATTGTTGAGTGCCGCTTTTGAGATCACCGCCAAGGCTTGAAAAAGCGGACGTGGTTTTGGAGAATTCGGTGGATAGCGACCAACTTCCCGGAAAACATGTTGCATACTTTCTGCACCATCTGAGTTTTCCATCTGCAGCTGTGTCAAGAACACAAGTGTTCCACTCTCTGGAGCTGTTCCACTGACCTGCAAAAAGCGGAGCCCATCTTCCAAAAATACATATTATACAGTGTATCTATATTACACTGTAGTTGTTGTTAAAGTTGTCTTACAATTCTTGCAGGAAACACCATCCTGGCCTTTAGTAACCATCTCAACAAAGACGCTCGTCTGGATGCGCACGACAAAGAAGCATCCACCCACAAAGCAAGAAGCTCTGAAGGCATTGTTGCGCTCTCCTCCTGCACAACGGCAAAGCACATGTGTTACTCTAAACGATTTTTATATTTCAGTGACTGCAGCGTTCTGGGATGCGAGCTGTGCAGTTCTAAAGGTAATCTAGCACTCGTAAATACGATCGCCAAAGTCTTGATTTGCGCTTCCGATGTTTGTTTCGGGTCAAGCAATAGAGAGTTTGCCTGTGTCTTCTACAAGAATCGCGAGCGCCTCGTCCACGGTGATAGGCATTGATTCCTTTTTTGGCAGCAAAGCCACGGCAGGGTGTCCTTTGATCCTGCAAAGCTTGAAGCCGCAGTAGGATCGCTTTGGCTGGGCTACAACAGCTTGCTCTTAGCTGGTTCAGCTGCTTCTTTCACACAGTCCTGTCATTCCACAGCTCTTCTATTTTGCCGAGAACAGTGCTCTCCTGCTTATTGAACGCTGCTGGAAGAACCAACAAATAGAAGAAACTTCTGAGTGGCGCAGTCGGCCTTTGGATTGTTGAGCAAACGGGAGGTTGAGCACCTCCACATCATGTTTGGGCAAGAAACTCATAACTACTCATATGTACTCCAAGTTTGGAGATAAAGCTGACCACTGAGGCGGGGAGTCTTTATATTTGACCGTATATGATCCCAGAATTAGCCATGAGAATCGTGTAGCATATTTTTTACTGTTGTCTATCATCATGATCTTTCATATGACATCGATACAAAAGAATGAGCAAAAGGCCGAATCTTCACCAAATTACAGACTGTAAGTTGAACGTCTGGTGTTTCTGGTTGAGAAGGTATGAAACTGTTGTAAAACACCACGACGCAATGTCAAGGATGAGAAAGGCACTTGCACGTTCATGTCTAGCAGCTGTGGAGTTACGAAGCGGGTCAAAGTCACAGTCGCAGGCCTTGCTTGCATGCAAAGGAATCTGAGTTTCCATCGATTGTCGCCACAAAGTTTCTTTGACATAAGCCTTGAATCGAAAAGTGGTTGGCAACGACTGGATTGAACTATATATCTCCGTGTGTCGGTTCGGCTAGACTGGAAGATCAGCTGCTAGATAAACCGTTTACGGGGCGCTATTTTTGTGTCTATAACCTGTGTTCTTCAGGCTTGTTCAAAAAAAACAAAAATTGATATCATGTGTATGATTGTCTGTATGGCTTCGGGGGTAAATGTTCGCGATGCCGGCTACGCAGCCCGGGGAATACTGCATTATTGACATCGTGGGTGTGGACAAACAGACCAAGACTGACAGACCCAGACAGACTATTGACATCATGCGTGCACTCGTCCATGTGTCCTGCCCGACTTCAAGACAGACCGGCTCCGACAGCACAAGTTGCTGCTTCCCACCCCCAATAACCAACCCGTATCCTCGTGGGTGCTACTGATACATTTGCCCATTGAATCTGTGCGGGCAGCTTCCACCGCGAAGCGGCGTGAATACGTGCGAACGTGTAGCATTGAAAGCTTAATGTGGAACCAAGAAGCTTGAGACCGCACTCTGCACAAGCTGCGGCAAGATCCGATTCGCCAATGTGGCGGTACAAAAGACTCACCTATCACAGAAATTGTCGTCTGCTCTTGCATCAGCAAAGGGCCGCCAAAGATACTTGATGCCTGATAAAGTATTCTTAACTGCAGCAGGCCAGATCTGACTGCAGGCCAGCGGACCAGCAAGTCCTGCGCAAAACAAAAAATCAAGGCGTACGTAACTTGTGCAAATTTCGGGCCTCTGCAACTGGTTTCTGCAAAGGCAAAGCCTCGCAAAAGAACGGGGATGGAGTCAAAGTATACATATGTTGCACACTGAATACTGTAGTTTGTGATCTGTCCGTGCCCACTTTCGGACAGTGGAACACGAGCTTGAGAGATCGCAAAGCAGCCTCGGTTTCAGAACAAACCCAGTCGTTCTTAAGTGTCTGAACTCGCTGCTCTTCTCAGCCTATTCAAGACTCTGAGTTTGTCACACTCTGGGCTGAGATTGTACTTCCCCCTGCACACTGGCCAGGGCGAATGTCCTGCCGCATTTTGCCAGGGGCCTTCACACTTAGTTTCCTGCCACCTAGCTTGCGTCCAATACTGCGCTGATAGGTGATCTGTAGTTTACATTTGGGCGTGGGGCCGTGGGTCACGCCCTGAAGTTTGAGCTGCATCTGAAGAGTTGCCAAAGTCATGGGCCAAGCATATATATATATATAAATATACATATACTCTATACCTTAAAGATAGAAGATATTCAGGAATTAATTCTGTGGAAAGCATTCCTTTTCATTCCCCAAACAGTTTACTGTTAGGGGTTCTCAATTCTTTCTTAAGATGTGTCCGCCCTTTGTGTCACTGCTGGTGTCCGCCCTTTTCCGCTGGCCATGTAGCATTTCTATTCATTTGTCTCCCAGTCTGTCGCTGCTGGTGTCCGCCCTTTTTGGGCTGGCCATGTAGCATTTCTATTCATTTGTAACATTTCTATTCGCTTGTCTCCCAGGTCTGTCACTGGTGGTGTCAGGCCTGTTCGCGGCTGGCTCGGTGCTTGTGGTCGGGTTCCAGCCGGCTTGTCTCCCACTCGGTGCTTGGTCGGGTTCCACACTGCTGGTGCCCCCTTTTCCGCTGGCCATGCAGCATCTCTATTCGTGTCTATTCATGTGTTTATCAGGTCTGTCAGTGTCCGACCTTTTTCAGTTGTCTCCCAAGTCTGTCATTGGTGGTCTCCGCCCTTTTCCGCTGGCCATGCAGCACTTCTGTTCATGTGTCTCCCATGTCTGTCACTGCTGGTGACCCTTGTCCGCTGGCCACGCACCAATTCTATTCATTTGTTTCCCAGGTCTGTTATGTGGCGTCCGCCCTTTTCTGCTGGCCATGTAGCATTTCTATTCATTTGTCTCCCAGGTCTGTCACTGGTGTCCGCCCTTTTCCGCTGGCCATGTAGCATTTCTATTCGTTTGTCTCCCAGGTCTGTCATTGGTGGTGTCCGCCCTTTTCCGTTCGCCATGCAACTTTCTGCTGGCTTTTCTGCTGGCCATGTAGCATTGCTATTCATTTGTCTGCCACATCTGTCAGTGGTGGTGTCCGCCCTTTTCCGCTTTCTATTCATTTGTCTCCCAGGTCTGTCACTGCTGGTGTCCGCCCTTTTCTGCTGGCCATGTAAGCCCTGCACTGCTGGTGTTCCGTTGGCCATGTTGCATTTCTATTCGTTTGTCTCCCAGGTCTCTCACTCCTGCTGTCCGCCCTTTTCCGCTGGCGATGCAACATTTCTATTCGTTGGTCTCCCAGGTTTGTCACTGGCGGCGCCCGCCCTTTCCACTGTTTCTATTCATTTGTCTCCCATGTCTGTCACTGCTGGTGTCAGCCCTTTTCGGCTGGCCATGCAGCATTTCTATTCATTTGTCACCCAGGCTTGTCACTGGTGGTGTCCGCCCTTGTCTGTTGGCCACGCAGCGTTTCTATTCATTTGTCTCCCAGGCCTGTCACTGGTGGTGTCCGCCCTTTTCCGCCGGCCAAGGTCTGTCACTGGTCGTTGGCCATGTAGCATTTCTATTCATGTGTCTCCAGGTCTGTCACTGCTCATGTCCGCCCTTTTCGGCAAGCAATGCAGCATTCCTATTCATTTGTCTCCCAGGTCTGTCACTGCTTGTGTCCGCCCGTCGGCCATGCAGCATTTCTATTCATTAGTCTCCAGGTCTGTCATTGTTGGCGCCCGCCCTTTTCCGCTGGCGATGCAACATTTCTATTCATTTGTCTTCCAGGTCTGTCACTGCTGGCGTCCGCCCTTTTCCGCTGGCCATGCAGCATTTCTATTCATTTGTCTCCCATGTGATTTCTTTTTCCCGAAAGCATTGCGAAGGGTTCTTCCGGAAAATCCGTTGAACACTGACACTTCGACACTTACACTTACACACTGACACTCCCACCACATTCGCACTACATACACTGACACTTCGACGCTGACACTTACACATACACACTGACACTTGGCAAGCACGCAGTGTAAGTATGCAAGTGATGGGTACGCAAGCATGCAATGAGCATGCAAGCACTGACACTTACACATACACACTGACACTCGGCAAGCACGCAGTGTAAGTATGCAAGTGATGGGTACGCAAGCATGCAATGAGCATGCAAGCATGCAATGAGTAGGCAAGTGTGAGTATGGAAAACTAGCACGGGAGATGTCCCAATGAAAAAACATTTCCCCACTTTATAAATTCTCTCTTAAAGGCGGAGGGCGGGACGAAGAGCGTCAACCGAAAGTGCAACCCTCTGCGGAGAACGTGCGTGTTGAGTGCGCGAAATGCAGGCGAGAGTGCGATTTGCCGGCTGCCCGCGCAACCCTCTGCGGAGATCGTGCGCGTCGAGAGCGCGAAATGCAGGCGAAAGTGCGATTTGTCCGGTCCGCGCGCAACCCTCTGCGGAGATCGTGCGCGTCGAGTGCGCGAAATGCAGGCGAGAGTGCGATTTGTCCGGTCCGCGCGCAACCCTCTGCGGAGATCGTGCGCGTTGAGTGCGCGAAATGCAGGCGAGAGCGCGATTTGCCGGCTGCCCGCGCAACCCTCTGCGGAGATCGTGCGTGTCGAGTGCGCGAAATGCAGGCGAGAGCGCGATTTGTGAAATCACCGCGCGACCCTCTGCGGAGATCGTGCGTGTCGAGTGCGCGAAATGCAGGCGAGAGTGCGATTTGCCGGCTGCCCGCGCAACCCTCTGCGGAGATCGCGCGTGTCGAGTGCGCGAAATGCAGGCGAGAGCGCGATTTGTAAAATCACCGCGCGACCCTCTGCGGAGATCGTGCGCGTCGAGTGCGCGAAACGCAGGCGAGAGTGCGATTCGAGCGGAGCAAGCTGTGGAGCTGGAAGCTGAGAACTGGCGACTTTGTAGTGCAACTTTAGTACGCGGAGGAGCCGGGGAGCTGGAAGCTGAGAACTGGCGACGTGGTAGAACGACTGTAGTACGCGGCGTAGCTGGGGAGTGGGAAGATGAGAACTGGCGACTTGGTAGTACAACTTTAGTGCGCAGAGTAGCCGGGGAGCTGGAAGCTGAGAACTGGCGACGTGGTAGTACGACTGTAGTACGCGGAGTAGCTGGGGAGCGGGAAGATGAGAACTGGCGAGTGGGTAGTACAACTTGAGGGCGCGGAGTATCTGGGGAGCTGGAAGATGAGCACTGGCGACTTTGTAGTACAACTGTAGTACGCGGAGTAGCTGGGGAGCTGGAAGCTGAGAACTGGTGACTTTGTAGTACAACTTTAGTACGCGGAGCAATCTGTGGAGCTGGAAGCTGAGAACTGGCGACTGTGTAGTACAACTTTAGTATGCGGAGTAGCTGTGGAGCTGGAAGATGAGAAGCGGCGACTTGGTAGTACAACTTTAGTACGCAGAGCAGCTGGGGAGTGGGAAGATGAGAACTGGCGACGTGGTAGTACAACTTTAGTACGCAGAGTAGCTGGGGAGTGGGAAGATGAGAACTGGTGTGGGTAGTAGCTGCGAACTGGCAACTTTGCAGTACAACTGTAGTGCGCGGAGTAGCTGGAGCTGGAAGATGAGAACTGGCGACTTGGTAGTACAACTTTAGTAC